AAGTAGTTCCAGCGTTGACCGCTCGATAGCGCCGCTTACCCGCGCTAGAAAAAATCAGTCCGGGAACTTTCCGGACAAACTGTGTATGCAGCGGTCACGGGCTGTCAATGAAATATTGATTAATGTAAGAAGATATCATGTTTCAATAGATATAATAATTAGGTTATACCGAAAGACAATTTAGTTATTTTTTAACAAAATTATAATTTGCTTAAATCCGGTAAACTTTGAATGTACAACACAATAAGACAACACAATATTTTGTCTGCTTATAAAAATAAGCAGTTTGATTAAATGAAATACTTAGTACGAATAAATTCAGATTATATTCAATTAAAGTAAATAAAAAGTGCCTATTTCATCTTTTTTAACAGTATCTTTTATTTGAAATTATCACCTTATGTTCGACATAACAATTCATGGTTTAGTAAATTAAATATGTTCATTACCACTATTGTTAATTCAACTTATACGAATTTGTTATCTTTATTACCATATGCTTGAATTGAAAACACAAGTATTTCAGATAACAAACTGAAACTCAACTAAACGCATTTAGTTGAGTTAATAGTATTTTTTTCTCAGTGTATAGTTATTTACAACATCGATGACTTCATTGTTGCTCGAAAATTTCTTTTTTATCGAGATTGTTTTAAACTCGGAAATAAATTTAACAAAATTGCATCGCCATATTTGGCAAATAAGGCAAATGAGGCCAACAATTCGAAGCTCAACTCGTAAATTTTATGTTTTATTTTCTCAAATACACGCGATATAAGAAAAATGCGCGAAATCAGCGTTGAAACGAAGCTCACCGTCTTTTCTGATAGATATTTCCGAACAAAATGCCGTGTGTACACACTGACTTTGTATATCGATATATAGCAATATGTGTAGCGTATCGTGTTGATGCGCGCCAAAATTCTGAAAAATTTTGAATGCTTACCCAACGGTCACGTCGAAGATGTTACTGCCGACGGAGCTTGACACGGCCATATCACCGTATCCCTTCCGCGCTACGATGACGCTCGTGATGAGGTCCGGTATGCTGGTGCCAGCTGCGAGGAATGTCAGGCCCATCACTTCCGGCGGTATGGCCACCGTGTCGCCGGCGACATTTGCCCACCAGACCATCAGATACGAGTACGCCGCGATCCAAAAGATCGAGCCGAGAAACGTTATCGGAAAGAACTTTTTCCCTGAAAATTAAGCAAATGCGTGAAATCTAATTACACACACACACACACACACTCTCTCTCTCTTTCGCTCTTTCTCCTCTTTTCTCTTTTTTCCTATCGCTTTGCAGAAATTACTCGTCCCAACCGATCACTCACCATATTTGTTTGTGATATCAAATGTGACGTATTGTGCGATTTCTTTCTCAAGAAATCGAATCGGAAAGATGGAAGAATAGGTGTCCAAAGATATCGGGAGAATGTTATTCACGCTCGGAATTATGCAGTCGGGAGGCCATGTGGCGCCAACACTCTTGTCATATCACTCGATTCAGTAGCTTCCATTAACGAGAGTGGTTTAAATATATCAAATTTGTGTGCTCAACCGATTACCGTGTTTTGATATCGCGTTGTTAAACGTTAGGTAACCGGAGAGTTATCTGAGATACGAAATATATAATGCGCGATTTTAAAAAAGATAAAACTTTTAAATACAACCAAATGAATGAAACTCGAATACGCATTTGAACGAATAAATTTATTTGCAAATCAATATATGTGTATATATGTATTTACATATATAGACTGTATATGCATATATTATACACGTAGACACACATGTAAATAGAAAATTTTTTAAATTGTTTTTTATATTGGTCTGATGTAGAATAATCGGAATGCCATGTGAATGTTTAATTATTCTAAAAATAATTTTAGTTAAATTAAATTAGTCAAATATTTTTGTACATTATTTTTTTTGTACATTAAATCATGTGAATATGCTATATACTCCTGGGTTTAAGTTGAGAACGTCGGGAGAGAAGATCTCTTTTTCGTTTTTTAAATGAATTATTTACGCAAAATCTAATATATATATATTACAAATGCGAAGCCATAAAAAGAAGTTTTTGGCACGCGTTCAGAATTCGAAATTTCTTTCGGTATTATGATTGCAAAACTTAAAATAGCGAAAACTTGAACAAAATACGTGCTTACTTTTATTGCATTGTTTTACATATAGAAAAAAAAGTTCGCGCATACTTCTCGGTTTTACTTAAATATTGCAATTTGTGTAAAACAACACATCAAATAAATAGATTGATCACATTTTTTTTATTTGCTTGTGTGTGTGTTGTGCGCCGCGCATGTCATCTTATTTAACTTGTATAATTAATTGATTGCGGCTGTGTACATTCACGTATTAATAGGTCGGTAATCAAAGATCGAGATTGCTGAAATTCAAAGGACACATATCGGAATTTTAACTGACAATGGAATCGGTCTCGCGCGCATGTACGGTTATCTGTGCATTCGTACGTGCGTAGCAATCAGTCTTCAATGCAAAATTAGCGTGTCAATATCATCTTTCGTCGCGGACATTATACGATGTCGCAATAGAGACGAGCTAATAGACCGAGATAATGCAAGCAGTGAATAGACGATGGCTGCCGTATAATAAGAGTGTAAATATCACAGAAAACATTCACACCTATATATCTTAATATTTTTATCTTGATTAACCAGTAATCTAACATTAAATTTATTTGTTTTTGATTTTTTTTTTGTGTTTCCAACACAAACGAGCAATTTGTATCGCGACGCTAACAATCCGTAATTATAAATGCTTTTAAACAAATCTATATCTAATTTCTCCATTAATTTTTTTGAAAAAGTGTTGTTTAAAAATGTGTGTGCATATATTACATATATGTATGTACAATATATACATGTAATAATAAAAAAAATATGAAAGCTATATAAGTAACGTTAACGCGACAAATTAAGTGCAAACGCTGTTTAATTAGTCTTTTATTGATGAGACGAGTTTTCATCCCGATCGATTGGTCTTTTATTGATGGGACGAGTTTCCCAATCCCAAATTCTCGGAGTCGAGCTAATATTACGCGGGGTCGATACTGGGCGGGCAAAACATTGCGCGACGTTTGCGCTGATTGATAGAATTTAATCTGACCCCGGCGTTTTCAGCAGGTTAAAAAAAAAACACATACATATCACACAAACCGTGGCGTTTCGGCCGTAATTAATGGCGAATGTGTAAAATGTTTCTTCACACCCCCTCTTCTTCCGCTTCAACGGATAATATTTCCGGTCAATGATAAATTATCGTTCCACGCCCTCTCTATGTGCGAATAGAGCGAACCGTTAGATGTACACATTTAGCACATAATCGAGCATGTAATTTAATATTCAACAGATATAACGTAATATTCTTAGATCTTCCTGATTTTCATCCCTTAGATAATACGCAGATAGTAAATGTTATCACATGTGTTTTGTGATTTATTGCAAACGAATGTGCAGAGAAAATACAAACAATTTACATATATATTTGTTATACAAGAGTGATCCGGTTTGACCTTTAGAATTGATGAATAATACGCACAATGTTTAGAAAATTTGAATTTTATTGCTATCAATTAACTTCTCGGAAAAGGGAAAGAAGTTTGATATCTCAAGAAATGCAAATTGAGAGAAGATGAACAAGAGTAATTGTGTTCCTCGCGCTTAACAAAAACTTCGCTATTGTCTTTACTCCAAGTTTTCATCTGCCTCTCTATTCGAGACCGATTATTCATCGGCGAAAAGAGGAGACTTAAATATCACTGTCTTAACGGTTAACGGTGAAAACACTAGAACGAAAAGATTATCAAATAAAATATTAATATATTGTTAACCAAATATTGTTAACCATCATCAATCAAAAATCAATTGCGAGAAATTTAATTTCGCTCAATTTTCTCAAACTCGCTTATCCTTTATTTAAGTTTCCAACACAAAACAATATTATAATGGTATAAAATATTCTTACTATATTTTTTATAATTTTTTTTTTACACAAACTTCTTAAAAGATCGAAATAAGAAAAACCAGAACGTTAAAAAAACTGAAAGATATCTATGACGTGTAAGAAGTAATTTTTATTATATAGCTCTTCTTCTAATTTAGGCAAGCACAATAAAGTCATTAAAGTCGATTACCTCTGGGTGTTCTCGCATCCGGTAACGTTAACCAAAGAGGAAATAAAATTGGCGCGACTAAGATGTAAGATAGCCTCTTCCTCGGGGTGCTGGGCCAGGCCATCAAGGCTGCAGGATCGTCCTCTTCACCCTGTAAATAAATACATTTTCAAGATTTGCATACTCTCATGTGCTATTCGATTTCGAGCAAATCCGCGAAAAAAAGTCATCATAACATTTAACGAAATTTGTAAATTGCGGTCAAAATAAAAAAGCTTTTGTTAAAGCGCAGATATTCCGAAAATAAAATCGAAAGATCTCAAAAGTAGACCGAAATTATTTCTTTCATTTGAATAATAATAATAATAATAATAATAATAATAATAATAATAATAATAATAATAATAATAATAATAATAATAATAATAATAATAATATCATTGGAAGAGTCGATTGATTTAAAATTTCGTCACTTCATTGTAAAGATCCTATTCCCGAATCATCGTGTACAGTCATCCCCGCAAATCCGGAAGCTAACGCGGAAAACTGGACGGCCGACTAGTGAGTACGATTATCCCTGGGAAGCGAGGGGGTGCGCGCGCGCGCGCGCAAGTTGCAACGTGGACCGCGAACGAGGGTGGGATGCAGCATTGACCTAGATTCTCCGATGCATTCAAAATGAAAAGACCTTCTGTCTCTCTTTCTCTCTCTCTCTCTCTCTCTCTCTCTCTCTTTCTTTCTCTCTCTTCGCTCATTTAGGACAAAGCCGCTTGAGACTTCTCGCCGTACATCCACACGCGCGCCGCGATACTTCCTCCTCCTTTCCAACCTTCCTGTACAACGTTGGCTAATATCCTCGAGAGAACTTCAGATGGTCGATTTCCGATTTATATTTCCGCGGAACAGCGCTTGTTGAATTACAAACGGCGATTGTATACATGCCCGTTCGGGGGAGCAAATCGCTCCCCAATGTTCCGACGATGACGGTCTTTCTCGGCCGGCATTATTGTAAGATCGGAAACGAACTAAATAAGGGATCTTTTATATTACCGCGAACACGATTGTATATCGATACAAGAGCGTTTCTTCGCCGGCCACGCGGTTCGGCGATTGACATTACAACGAATTTTAAAAACCCGTCGGTAAAAAGTAGCCACTTAAAAAATGTTCTTTGTTCGTTTTGCGCGCGCTTAAGTTTATCTTTTTGATCACGAAGCAAAAAGTTTGTTTGTTTTAAGAAACGGTTTTATTTATCGCACAATGTGTTTTGATTTTGCTATCGAAGCGTGTATTTATTTTCAACTAAAAAACGCCAATTAGAAGATTACTTGTATTATGTAAAAAACATAAAAAAAATTTTTCAGTTAATTAAATTGTGTGACAACAAAAGCAAAAAAGTTGCTAATAACAATGTAAAATTTTTATGTCAATCACATAGCTCGTACTTTTTTAGAATCGCGGCCGAATGGAAACGCAAGAAGCGTTAAAATAGAAAATTGCGTACTGGAAACTGCGAAACGTGTCTTCGTTGTAACGGAAGCTTGCGCAGAATATCGCGGCTGATTCAATCTGATTTGTCTGAGCCGATCTCTCGGTCGAAGGGATCGTAAAAGGCGAAGGGCGATGCCGGCGATAAGATTCGATATGGAGAGAGAAACGTGCCGCGCTTACATGCGATGCATTTTTTAAGGGAAAAACACCTCCGCGCTCCGTGATAAATGTTGACGTGGCGATAAAAGCTCGAATGTTTGACGCGAGAAAATGACACGCGGACGCAATATATCGATTTTAAATTCAAGGGTCATGCTCGACGATTGCAATTTGTCTGGCCGCAACTACGGCCGCGATACGAGTTTTGTGATTCACGCTTGCGCGTACAAGCGACTTAACCAGGCATTAAGTTGACTTAACGAGCTTCTGATGGCACACGTCTCTGGCCACGTCGTTGATGGTTGTTCAAATTCGCGAGGTCACTTTCAGAATTCTCCAAGGGTTACAAAAAAGATACCAAATGAAAAACGAATGATAGAAAACGATAACGGTAGACGAATGACAGGCGGTTTGTTGAAGCTATCTCAGAGGTCAGCGCGACAAAAAATAAGAAGACAGACACTTTAGCGTCCTAAGTGTGTGCGTTACTATCGCGCGTGTGCGCGCAGAAAGAATTATTGAATATTTATATCCGTTCGCGGAGAGATAAACGAAAGGTTTCTCTTCTCGATATCATCTGATGAACTACGAGAAAGTTCGAAGACGAACAATATCGCCTGTTGCGTTGATCTTTCTCTTCTTATCGCTTCGAGCATTCTTACTCGCCTATTCCGTTCCTTTTGATCGTTTCTATTCCAGAGAAAAGCGACAGGATCATTTTCCGATTGTCTCCCGAAAAGCACGTCGCGGTACAAATACAAAATCGGCTTGATTACTATTTTTTTTTCTTCCGATAACAATTGCGCGTGACGTCACGCAATCGCGGCACCGTCTTTTATAATTGACTTTTTCAAGAACATCACGATACACATGACAGATGACGTTCGTTTTTTCTTACATTTATATTTTATCTCTCCCGCGTTCGACACAGGAAAAAATAACCTTAGATGAACTTTAGTTCAAAACCGACAAATATCGAGCAGCGCTCTGCGATTTATTATCGGCGAGTTAGCGGGAATTTGGTCGGTTTTATCGCGCCGGTGAAAATTATAGTTGTTTTGATAAGAACCTAATGGATGAGCACTACTGCCGATTCATGCTCTTGCGGTCGCTTTGAGGCCTCGCGTATAAAGTTAACTTGCCGGTCGCTTAACGCCAAAAGGCGTATAGATCGACTAACAAAATAGGACACACACACACACACACACATTATATATACACACATATATATTTGTACTTTCCTTTGGCAATTATATACGTAAATATTAATATATCGCTTTATAGAATAAATAGCTCTATTGACGAATCAACGAATTACGTTTTGAAACACTAAAATTATTCCATTCGTTATTGCTTTTTTCTCTAAAATTATTTTTGTAACAAAAGCCTTCTTTGAATAATTAACAAATCAACAAGAAAATTACTAAATTATTGCTGCAATAAATCAATAAAGATTTTCTACAACGAGAGAGAAAATGGAGAAGAAAATTACATCCAAAATAACGTCTTAAATTAAGAATAACTTTGCACATGATTGCGAATAACACGCTGTTTATTACGTGCGCTTTGACGCGATAACAGGTATCTTAAGATTAGCTCGTTGTGCATTGATTTATATCTTTCTGTCTTAAAAATAAGTTTCACACAGTGGAAAATACATACAAACGGTCACGTTTAAAACGAGAAACGTGACGACCGATATGCCGCCGCCGCGAGCAAATCAAACGTTTCGCGAAGAAGAGTGGAACGACAAAGTCCAATCAACGTGTGTTCTCGGAAACTCTTTGTTTTACGGTGGTGGAGCGCACGAGAAACCCTGAAACTATTTTAATCTCTTCGAATCGAAGTACACCGTTCGACAAATTTGTTCACAGATCTCTTTGCGTTGTATAAAGTTTCTTCTCTAAATTACAGAAATAAATTTTGCACGACAAAAGAATTATTTATACCACAGAGAAGAGACATATAGGACGGATTGATTTTATTTAACGGATAAAAATGTGTGTGAGCGAGAAATTTGTTCTCGCGTTTCCTTGTTATGTTATTAAACAAAATCGTGAAAGATCTCACTGAGATGATTAACAATTTTGTCGGTAAAAATATCGCAATCGGCATTGGCCGATCGATACCGTTCTTTCAGTCGATTCTCGTATATAGCGTGCGCGGTACAATGGTCTCTCTCTCTTGCAATTCGACAATTACCGATTCGAGGCCAGCGTCGAGACCGGCGGCTATACCGCCGTTCGGAAGTTCCTGAATGCCGGCGGTAGTGCCGGCTGTGTTCGTCGTAGTAGTGGTGGTGGTGGTGGTGGTGCCTTGCGAGCTCTGCTGCAGCTGCAAAGTCGTCTCCTTCGAAGGCGCGTCCGAGTAACGGGCGGCGGTTGATGTCGCCGCGCCGTTCTGCGGTCTAGTGGCATCCAGCAGCACCTTCAGCGACGCTATCGCATGTAGCTGCGTTGCCTTCTCGTCCACCTGACCTGAACAGCACCAGAGATGCAGATTAATGCGAGTAGAAGTCGACGCGAAGCATTAACAGCTTCTATAATTGTGCCAACAGAGTCAACTTTACAGCGTAGACGCATATCTGTCATCTCGCAAAATACGCAATCAATAAAAAATACATTTTTAACTTTTTGTTTTTCTTTTCTATTTGTCACACAATGTTGTTAAATAAATATGCAAAATTTGTCGGGTAAATACTTTAGATTTTAGAACATTATTAAAAGTTTAATACGCGAGTAGTTTAATAAGACGATATATTAGAAGATAATATTGAAGTTTAATATATTTACGCGCAAAAACGAGATTTTGTTTATATTTACAAATGACGACATTACGTATTTGTAGAGATGATTGAAAAGAGATATACTACGCTATATATATATACACATATATATAGTATATATATATATATATTTATATATATATATATTGTGTGTGTATACATTTTGATAAAAAGCGCAAGTATACATATGTACACATATATGTTTGCGTATAGTTGTAAATTATGTTTAACCATGTTAATTACAATGTTAGCAAGTACCGAATTGTTTTGTTGGAAATTGAGCCAGAGCTTTGCTATACTATGCGCATTAGCGTACATTGTATCGGAGCGCACGGCGTGTTTGTTGCATCCGCGAGTAAATTTCACGAAACGTTCACGAATTCCGCGCTTCGCCGAGTTTCCGATTGTAATCAGGAAATAGGAAAATGTGTCTGCGTCGCTTTCTCTCCCGACATCCTTTGTTCCAGTTTTATGTCAGGCCGGTCGGAAAGAGCGCGAGACATTTTACGAAATGACGATGCGCGCGCGCGCGTTGCGTATCAAATTCTTTCCTTCTTTATCTGCGTTCGCGTTTTCACAACGTTGTTCGGAAAATTTCATCGCAAACCAGCGAGACAAACGTCAAACTCTGATGCAACTGTACATTCTACACTATGTTCTATATTCTTTGTATAATTCTTCTAATCTCATGAATATTACAAATCTGTTCTAAAAAGTGAATACTACACAGAAACTTACTTCTACAATCTTTATAACCTTAACAGAGAAATAAATAATTTATTAATTTACTCAGAAGTAGTTAGATTTTTATATTTACATTGGTGGCTTAAATACCATATTAATTCAGTCATCTTAAATGACTTACAATGTAAACATGCAATTTTATATCATGCAAATTCGAAAAGGCAATAAGCTTCAAAGCTTGTTAAGCGATTTCGGCGATTAATAACATTTCGCAAGATAAAAATTTACAATCAATGTATGCGTGGCGTCAATATGTAATTGAATTTTCACAATTTAATTTAATTAAGAACCGACTAATCTCATGCACGTATTTTGTACATTTGACAAACAGATTATTTTCATGATTTTAATAAGAATGCTTAATGAATATTTAAAATTATCACATACATTGCGTGTAGGTTATCAAAAAAGTGTTTGTTTAACACCGATGAGTAAATACAACGGATAGAAACAATGTAACATGCGCTTAAAAAACATTTAATTTGTATGTTCTCTTTTTTTGGTTTGTTTTTAAGTATATGTATATAACATGTACAGTAAAACAGACAAATGTAGTAAAATAGAACAAATCTTTGATGAAAAAATATAATAAATAGATATTTAAAAATGCTTAGCAATAAAATCAAGTCAAGTTTTTATGATTATTGTCTACTTATAATAAAGCATGCATTGCTTTCGTAATCGAGATTATATAATTTTCGGAGAACTCTTGTTTTACATATTTCCCGATTTGCACAATACTTGTCACGAAACTAGATTTCTAATAATTGTAAACAATTTTTACCGCAAATTTGTCATAGTTTAAAGTAAGCGGGGCATTCATGAAATATAAACATATTCTATAGAGAACCGGGACATTTGCATATATGGATGATGCACGTCCGTTTCCGCTGTATAGGTATACGGTTCGCATTGCACCATGTATACGGATCATGTATAATTTAGGATGTATACGTTGTATAGATAGCGCGTCGGGGGAGAAAATTCGAGAACTCGACAGTCTTGTCGCTAAAAGAGATCATCGTTATTTCAACAAGTAGTTGATCAATCGATCATTATCTATTTCTTCAAGTGCAAAACCTTTTACCTTTCCCCTTGGATTTCGTCAACGACCTTTGTTAATAAACAAAAGATGAATTTGCATAGAGCGTACATGCGCGATTAGGAATGTTTAATTCAGTCTAAATGATTTTATATGACCAATTAATTATTTACCATACATAGCCGAGCATATTTAATTGCCATAGTGATAATTGTATAATTAATGGATATACGCGTTAATGAGTCCTCTAATAAACAATAAATTTATATAATTATACATGTGCCGAAGTGTTTAACAAAATATCTTTTTAATTAATGCAGCATGTATGCAATATGAAAAAAATAAAATTATTGTTTTGATTCCACCCGCACGTGCGGAATACAACACGTCTTGATTTTCTTTCAAAGAAATTCGAACTTTACCCCGCAATATATAAAACGTTATTCGTGCCGTAAAATTTAAACAAAAACCATTGACAATATGATTGTATTTCAAAAAAAAATAAAGCTCTTTGACAAAAAATATATCAATGTTTAAACCGATTATTGTTACCAATTTTACAAAAAAAAAAAAAGAAATAAAAAGTACAGTCATAATGGTAAAATGTCACGCGTGATCAATGTCATGTCGCAGAAATATTTTTTACAAGGAGAAATACTAACGAGAAGAATCAAAGGCTACAGCTTGATTCGAAATCGATTGTGATATGATACGATCTAATAGACCGACTCGCAAGCTGTGATCATCGCTGGTGTCTGTGGTATGAAGTGAGCTTAAAAGGGCTGGCTAACTCGTCCGTTTATCGTACTTCGTGACAAGGGATCACGGATCTGCGTGCCGATGGCAGCAGTAGGTCAAAGAGAAAAACTCGTGTTAAGTGGCCTTCATTCTCGAAGGTGGAAACGAGGCGAGAAAAGAAAAGTAAAGAGAAACTCACGAGCCCCGGAGGATAGAATGCGAATATGGTATCGACCCTCTTCCTTTCCTCTTCCCAAGAGTTGCTCAGAACGAAACGTAAGAACCGCAGAAAGAAAATAGATGGTAAGGGAAAGATGGGACAGAGAGAGAATAATTGACAAAAAATGAGCAAAAAAGGAGGAAAAGAGATAAAAGAGAGGATCCAGATGCACACAAAAAATAAAATAAAACAGACATGATAAAGCGTGTCAATCAGACGCAGTGTGTTCCAATCGAACACGACAAAAAAACTACGGTAGGTAGGTTGATGAAAACAAGATTTATACAATCGATATTTTTTGCTAATGAAAAAAGTGCCAAAAATTGAGAAAATTGAAATAAATAATCATTTCTTATTTTAATCTCTTATTTTCACTTTGCTTCTGAGAAAGATTCGATAACTTGGAAATTGTCATTCTACTTCAACTACTTCCAACTTTGAACTGTGTATGTGCATGCATACGTGTGCGTGTGCGCGCGCGCGCAGAGAGAGAGAGAGAGAGAGAGAGAGAGAGAGAGAGAGAGAGTACCTAGATCGAGAATTATTAAATTTCTGAAAGCATCAGTCTTTGAGTTGATCAGAGACAAAATCGTCCCTAAGAAGACGAGCGCAGGTTTCAATAACTCGTCGTCGGGAGATATATAATCTTTCTTTAAATTCAAAAATGGTCACGATAGCACGGAGAGATAACGAGTTCCGCTGTCATCCCGACACCGTTTAGCGAATTATACAGAAAATTAAATCCGACTTCGAGAAAGCACCACGCGCTTCCATTCATTTCTTGTCATTTCTAGGCTGTGACAGCAGATGTCTTTTGGATATTCGTCGGGTAAATAAGAAAATTTTTTGAGATTTTATACTCGGCTTTTTCACAGTTCAGTTTTTTTGAAAATTGCAAAGTTATCGAAAGGCGCGGAAAATTGTTGTTTTCTTCCATATTACTTACAAGATTTTAAAACTTAAAATGTAAAACAAATAAAAACGATTAAAAGAGGAACTTTTTTTCTTATAATTATATCCCCCGCTCTCCTCGTGCACTTGAAGATCACATCAAGAGACCCTTACCCTTTACACATTCCGTCATTCTTTCTCTCTCTCTCTCTCTCTCGTCATTTCAGTACATCATAAGAACTCTCTCAAAATCGATACTTCTTACCATACTTCGTACCATACTTTTTTGCTAAACGCTTTGACTAAGGTCGATCGATTGTGTTAACTGGGGGGCCTCTTTCGTTGTCGGCCGGTATCGGATACTACCTCGCGTGTAAGCGATTAAGGCGTGGGTGTTACGTAATTCTAATGCAAAACTCAACGTGATTGATTGCTCGCACTCGCGCGCCTTCGGCCAGAAACCACGGAAATACACGGAACCGCCCTACTCTGACTTTCGGCCGCAAATTATAATTGTGTTATTTTGTAAAACATCAACCGAGAAAAAAGGGAAAGAGATACGTATCAAAAAATTCAAAAAGTACCTAATTATATGAATGTGTGTGGCAACGTATTAATGTTAAAAGAATTATTAAAGTTTTGTTAATATCGGAAATACAGGCTTATATTGACACAAGCAACTATCAAAGTTGGGTTGTTTATAAAATCCAACCTGTGTAAAAGGAAAAGCAAAAGAGAATAGGTTCTTGTCTATTTAATAGTGTTTATTACGTGTATTATATACGTATATATTATAGTAATAGCTTTACAATAACACCGTCAAAACTACTCAGATTCGAATATATATGCGTCGAAAATAGTGTGTGTAATGATGACGATGCACTTCTTGTATATGCGTATAATTTGATGATACATAATATATATGGCTATACACCAACGTAGAGAGAGAGAGAAAAAGAGAAAGAAAAATCTACCGATTGTAACAAAAGCTAAGCTAATAAAGTTCAACAAACAGGTTGATACATCTTTGACCTACTAATGTAATTGTTCAACCAGT